ATGCTTCTCTGTAATATAATTTTGGACTCATGTTTGGAAACACAAGGGTTTTGTTACAATTCATAATAATTTTAATATTTTGATCTCAATTTTAAATTGATTAGTGGTGCCTTGGGAAACACAAGTAGCAAGTAGATCATAAAGTTAATAGGAGAATGATTTTAGATGTATTACCATTGATAGTAACTTGCGGGAAAGTTTTCCACTAAAAAATATGCAGTGCATGTAATATAGTACAGCATATTAGGTAAGACTGAGTGGAAATCTGTGAGTATTTGTGATGACATTAAAGTAATGTTTCAGTTGTTTACACTGCACCTTATTTTGAGTTAGAGGATACATAGAACTTAATGAGTGGGTTACTCATATTAAAGCCATTTTGTATGGCAGCCTCCCTCACAGGGCCCACCCTCACCACCTTAGGTGATTTGGATTCCTGTAGGCAAAAATATACTTTCAAGTCGCAATAGAGAGGTAAGAGGGATGATTCAATTTAAAACATTAAAAAGAGATGCAGTACACTGTATCTAACCCACTACCAGGCACAGAAGAGATAAGGAAGGCTGCCTTAGCTGGCCCAAGCAATTAAAAGAGTAACTCACATATCCAGATGTTCATTAACATCATGAAAGCCAAGGATGACTTTATTGATGCCCCCACCCCCACTGAAAAAAAAGGTTTAAATGGTGCATACACCAGGCTAGGCCTCAATCAAAATGAAGACCGATGACACTAACAGCAGCTCCGGAGATTAAAAAAACAAGAGGTTTAACAGCATAAACAGCAGCCACTGGCAAGTTCATATATTACCTTCACTGACTTGTTACCAAGCCACCAAGTGGACCCCTACAGTTGTATGGTAGAACGAACATCATGCTTAACAAGCCATGCAATGTAAAATTTGCTACATACATACAGTTGACTAGATTCAATGGTGTGTCTTTGCCCCTTCAAACAGCAGCTTGAGAAGGATGAGCAGTTACCAGCACAACACCAACAAAATGGGAAAGCAAGCCCATCTGTTCAAGGTAAGGCATTTACCACTGAGTGAAAGCACAGTAGGAGGAAGGAAAAAAACGGTTCACTGAACAGCAGTTGAATTCTTGGGCAAGCCTGGTCACTTATAAAATGATATGTGAACTTTCTTTTGCATCAACACTACAGCCAGGAGAATTGAAACATTCTGACCAAAAAAAAAAAAAAATTGGCGATTTTATTGAGTAAGTGATGCTTTGTCTGGCACAATAATGGTTCTGTTCTCTTAACCTTGCAAGCATTTAATGACGGGTTGAGATGAAGTCAAGTGGACTAACAAAACATCAATTGCGACAGTAGGTGAGCTCTATCAACTTACAGTCATGCCATTTGGGCTCTGTAAAGCTGTAGTAACACCCTGATACTTCAGATGTAAAGCTTAATATATAAAATAATTCGTTACTTGTTTTGTCATCGGTGGAAAACCTGCAAAAGGTAAAACTAAAGGAATTTAGTTACGTAACGTAACCTATAACCATGTCGGATGTCCGCCCAGTACAAATGTTATTGCTATTTTGCAGAGATTGGAGGCATTTAAGAACTGCAGTTTCCTGCTGTAATATCTGTTCATGAATTTGGAAATCTATCGCTTTGACTAAAATAACAGACACTAATTTATGTGCCTTAACGCAGGTTCAGCTTGATCGTTTAGATGAACTGGTGTTGTCCGAGACGCTAAACGTTCTGTACTATTAAGTCTCGAAATGACCTGAAAGCTGTTGAAAGAATGAAAATTAAAGCGTTAATCATTTAAAAGCCTACTTATTTCTTGATTAAATGGCCTCAATTAATTTCGCGACTAACATTTTCAAAGTTGCGACCAAATTTTCGTAACTAGTCGCAAATTTGCGACCAGACATTTTTTTTAATTTCGAGCCCTGAAAGCCCCTATATTTTTGGACACCCCTAGAAGGTGAGTCTTTTACTCTGTACCTGGAAGCCATTATAACTATTAGGCCACATGTTTAGCTATTGGTTGCAGACTGCAACAGGCAGGGGTTGATGAGTATTAAGATGAACTTTGAGAAGTGCCACAGGTCCAAAAAGCTAATTGCCCTTATGGACCACATACATCTGTAACTTTTGACAGTGATTTGGGATAACAGCAATGTGCCTGCAAGAGGAGAATTAACTGTTCAAACATGGTATAGACTCTTCCACTTTAAGATATTTCTCAGCCTTTGCTCTCTATATGAGTGCAGTGAAACATGTAGCTGTGAGCCACTCGCATAATGGCCTAAAATTTTAAAATAAGAGAATCTAAAATTTGATATGTTGTCTGATATTATCTCGTCCACGTAAATCTTTAAGATGTTTTGTGACGGTGAGAGTGGTCATAATGTCCACCACAAGTTACAGTGTGTACCAGGCAGCTGAACAGTTTTGAACCTTATACTAAAGTGGAATATGATTGTCCAGGTGTGTGTAGTCCTGAAAATGATTATTGTTGACAGTTGACTGACAATGTGATAACCGGCCTTTGCAGTACTCATCCAGGCGATCTAATTATTAAATTATTATTGACAGCTGTCAACACTCATAAGAGTTTACCTTGGTCAGCTGTCTCAATTTTAGACTTCAAAGAATTGACCATATTCTTGCATTTTATTTAATGATGCAGTGGACCACTTGAACTGTTTGCAGTCAATTGTAGATCTGTTTATTTTATTTCTCTCACTTTAAGTCATGCATTTCAGAAGTTTACTATGGTGCACAGAGCTGGAGAGTAATAAAGCGAGACACCTCTGATACATGTTTGTATATCATGCTTCTCAGCTCTGAGATTTAGAGATCTACAAGTTTATCAGGATCAACGTCACTATGTTCACCTGTCAAAGGTGAAATCGTTCAGGTATTTCTTTTGATAGTATTCATACAAATTTTCCTATGGCACACTGTTTGCAATGTGACTTCAGCAACTAATGTAAATGCAGTTGAAACAAAGAGAAAAGTCAAGACCCATATCCAACCAGGTTGAGGAGGACAACATTGAAAAGCACTTGTGTCAATACTCTCAATAAAGCTTGGACTTACAGTGTGATGTGTTTCCACTACTTTCTGATAATTATCTGCTACACAGAAGATGTACTGCACATTATTTTCCTTAGATTTGTTGGTTATCAGAAGCTTTGCATACACGAAAACCCTAAATTACCTGGCCTGTTCTTATTACTATACAGTCAGACCTTCTAAGAATGGAATGAATGTGCAATGAACATTTAGACATCTTAGTTGATGACAATGGCGAGGCTAAAAATTACGGTGGTACAAGTCATGTATACACATGTACATGTAATCACCATATTTACCCATGTATAATGCATGACCTAAATTTTAACAAATGTGGGAAACAAATCAAGTCAGAGAACAACCACAAAAAACTCTGCCTTCTTATCCTCTTCTTCATTCTCAGTTAATTTTACTGATTTCTGCATTTTAAAATGATAATAATTACTAAACGCTACAAAGAATAAGCCTGAATGCAAGATAACTTAAAATAATACAGCAGCAATAGGCCATTTGCACGATGACATCATTTTACTACTACGACCAGAATCCTTCAGGGTTTTGCTTTCTTGTGCAAAGTAGGGCTTTTGTTATTCAAACCTCACTAAGATTACAAAATTTAAATATGAAAGGAAAAATGAAAAGGATTCTAGTTGTAGTAGTAAAATGACGCCATCATGCAAATGTCCTATTCAAAGACACACTCACTGCTACTTTATAGCTTGCAGGCTGAGATCCAAAAATGAAAGAAGAAACACGGCGACCAAGGTCTGAGAAAACCCCACTTGATGATTTCAGATTTTGACAATTGATTGCTTTCTGTTCAAAAGAGTAAACAAGCAATTAACACAAAAATGGTTTAATGCATGCATTCTCAGTCAACAATACAAAATCATGTTGTTAAGTTATTCCCTAGAAGTATATCAAAAAATATTTTCTATTGTCAGGGAATGTTAAAAGGAACACCAATAAAGCCAGTTCTCCTCTATGAGTGAAAGATAATCTGACATTTTTTACCTGTACAGGGGCGGATCCAGGATTTTTTTAGGAGGGGGTGCACTCGTCTCTTGCTCTACTTCAACACCAATAAACCACATAGTTGTTTTTTTGCAGAATACCAGTTGTATTAGAAAACCACATGTCATCTCAGGGGGGTGCGCACCCCCTGCAACCACCCCCTAGATCCGCCCCTGCTGTAAAATAATGATGGTATTGTTTTTATCAGTAGATCTGAGGTTCTCTCTCCTAAATGTTCATCTTGCAAAACTAAGTTTCTTTGGGCTGATTTGTATCATATGTTGCATGATGAATGAATATAAATTCAACAATATCATCACGTTAAAATCTGACATGATTTCACGTCACCTTGGTGAGTTAATGGTCTCTACTTTCCTAACAAAGTGAGTTTTTCTAAATTCTGCAACCATTCGTGGGTCAGATGTATGTATAGAGTGAGGTCTTTTTCTTTGTACACAATGCACACTTCACAGCATTTTTTTCCCCAAAACCCATCACACCAGTGCCTCCATGCACCTCCATTGAGTTAGTGGGAGCAAACAGAAAATTCCTGTTCTTTTTTCTCTGCCACTTGCATCAGGATTTTTTTTTAAATCAATGCAACTGAAATTCACAAATTTGCTGGCTTTTGGGGTAAGCCATGAACACCCTATAGGGATAAAAGCAAAACTGGATGATCACAGTTGTGACATACATGTAATTTTGACTCCACACTTCAAACAATGGAATTCCATGTTATGTAAATACAAGGCGACTGTAGAGTAATAGGCAAGTTTGCTGCAGCCAATAATCTTAACATCTTTTGATTGGTCAATAATTGACCAATCAATTATTGTTGGAGTGCAAGTGTGTTACAAAGAAACAGTTTAATAACCTGTTTACAAGCATTTATACTTTCTATTTTCTTCCTCTTGCATGTCTTGTACTTTATGCTAACATCTAAAAAAACTCCCTGAGCATAACACAATGTGTTTTGCACTCAGGAGGGTCATGTACATGTAGTACAGGCCAATATAATTGGAGGTTATTGATTGTGAGCAGTTGCCTTTATAAATACCTGTGAACCACTTAATAGTACCAGTTCATTAGTGGTAGTCATCAGGATACAACCATAGGGCTGCAAGAATAATAAATATTATAATATATTTTACACAATTTTATAATATAACGAAACCACTCATATATTGTTTATTATTCAACTACCACACTAACTTCTAGGGCAGAACACAAGTCAGGAATCTTTATAAGAAATTCGTAAAATGTATTTGACTATCTTGTTTTATATTTTCATATATATTTTGGTGACTTTTCATAAGCACAGGTCAATTTTCTACATACAATTCAAAAAATATGTAATTTAATTGATAAAATTTTTGTCGTTCGAATTAGTGACATAAAGAGAGAGACGCATCAACTAGCCAACTCCAGTTTTAATAATGAATCTCCGAGCATTACAAGAGAATCAATGAATTATTGTTCTAATCAAGTAACAGCCGTTCGTAAACTAAGGCAATGATTCAACTACTATTATTAGATTACATCATGCAAGTTCCTATGTTGATTTACTGTCAAGTCCGATATTAAAATGTCATAGATCGAATATCGTGACATGTAGAAAACTATACATCAAAAATAACATTTTCAAGAGGTAGTTGTTTTACAAACTGCTTAACAAGTTTGGCATTTCCTTTGCCAATCACTTCTTGTCATTAACATGTCCCCCACAAAGGAATACTTTGGGCACCAGAGGTTTTTTCTTATGCGTGGGGAGAGGGGCGAGCGCTGTTTCGTACATACAACATTCAATCCGAGGATCCAATTAGCAGAATGTCCTGATTCTGAGGACTGGTTACCATGCATGAAAAGTCTCTGCCAGCAGGGTAACAAAACAAGTCACATGTTTTCTGCTTTTAGAGTTTCCCTACCAGTTCATTATCCAACTTTCAATCAACATCTGATAAGAAACTCTAGCAGAAAACATGTGACTGTTTTGATACCTTGGGTGGCAGAGACTTTCCATGCATAATAAAAAAATATTGCTTTTGACCAAGCACACTATTCCTTGTATAACTAAGTGTAATTAAATTGATACTATCATATTATACATGTAATCTAGTAAGATATTAGTTTATTACAACCGGAAAAGTTGAATTTGAAAATGAAAACTATGTCTACATCACACCTGTAAAGCAGTCAATGAATGGCATTGGCATCCTATCAAGTCTGTTTCCATATCAAGCACAGCAGTGTCATTAACAAGACTTGGCCAGTAACGCACCAGTCCCTCAGGAGAAACAGCCATAATGGAGACACCAGATACATCACCAGAACAATCCATTACACAAACAAGATCAGCCATATGGTACAACTCAGAAGCTGGCAAAATCAACTCCTTATAAAATACTCCCTGATAAACACAACAGCCAAATGAATGTTTATTAATTTTTCAGTATTTACTATAAAGTTATGGAAGAAATATAATATTAACTTAGCACATTTAAGTGTGCCAAGTCACCTCTTATAATTCTTTTTTTATAATGATCAAATTAAGCACAAGATGTGCATGCATACAATGCGTGGGTTGTATAACAGGGTTTAAAATCTGGCATTTTAAACTTACAGAAACAATTCACGTACCATTCATGTGATTATGTTTTTTGAATAATTTTGTTCCTCTTCCACAGGAAATTACAAAAGGTTTGTCTCTAGTTTTTAAAAACAGAATTCTATATACAACAAGAAAACAACTTGAAATGTTAACAAATAAAAAAAAAACATTATCCTCAATAACCAATATACAACAAGAAAACAACTTAAAATGTCAACAAATAAAAAAATAACATTATCCTCAATAACTCAATAACTGACCACTGTACTGTCTGAAAATATGGACACATACATGTACAGTCAATTGTACTATACAAAGAAACATCGTAATAAAGTTGTAAAAATATCATTGCCTCAAGCACTGTTAGGCTTGGGTAATTTCTGAATCAAACACAGCATGACATGATTTTATTTAACACAAGTATCTGGAATCAAAGGGCTGAGACGTCAAACAACAGCTGAAGACAAACCTTTGCTTCAGCTCCTGGCACATAGCGCCAAATAAACAATTTCCTTCCGGTAACAAGCCAAGCCCAACCAAAAGGGGAAATCTTTACACTGATGTGTTGATCACCGGTGACTATAAAATAAAGTTAAATACCTCAAACAACTTGCATTTCAAAATAAATAAATGTTACCTCTTCTCAATTTCCTATTATATTTTATTTGTAGGTGTTGTCTAGCATAATAACTGGTCAATTTTCTGGTCCCTGTCATTGTTCTATTTTCTATTACACAAAAAACTCTAGCGACAAGTTTAAAGTTTTTTAACCTTGGTTGATTCTCAATTAGCCCTAATTCACGAATAATACCTATTCATATATTACTTAGGGCTAGGAGACCAAGGAAATTGAGAATCAACCTATTGTAGGTTAAAAAATTTTAACCAGAATTTAATTTTGACCTATGTACAACATATGTATGTTGTGTTTCAATTTTGGCCTTGGTTTAAATTTTACTTCCCTTTGTTTTGGGGCATGGCAATGGCAATGTACACTTTTCAACCAATGAGGCGCACTTTTTTAAACAAACAAAGAGTGATCAAAAAAATTTTCAAAACTGTTTTGTTTTATAATTTACCAAGGATGTCCTTAAAAAACTGAAGTTTTTAAACAAAGAGAAATATTAATTTATAATTTACCAAGGATAAAATTGAACGATAATGAGTGATAAATAAAATAAAAATAAATAAATAAAAAAATCAATGCACTTTATTTGAGCGTCAATGTATTTAGCACGTAAGTACTAATTGGGGACACAATACATTTTACGTCTGCCACTGGAGACGGGACCACCATCTGAGCCATGCGAAGGTGTAGCCCCTTGCAGTGCAAAGGGAGCACCCTCAATTCTCAGTTATTTGAAGATCCTGATTATTGGTCTGGCCCCCAGGAAACAAACCTGCGACCTCCCGATCTGCAGTCACGCGCTCTACCGACTGAGCTAACACAGCTGCAGTTAAAACAAATAACAATAGGCTAACACTGCCAGCAAGGGCCAATGGAATATCATTACTACATCAGTAGAGATAAATACTTTCTGCAACACAATGAATTTTTTTTAAGATGGGAACTGTTGAGGCCAGCTCCAATAGTGGGTCTTAAGATAAGTGACTGTTTCATAAACAATTTAGTTGCAGTAATGACTGAAAAATGGCAGGAAAGGGACAATCACCAGGTGTTTGTCTTATACAAGTGTCCACCTTAAATAGCAAGGTGTCTGTGAGGAGGGAATTGACTGTAAAAGCCATTAGGCAAATGAACCTCTGATGGAGTTGGTCCTCAGTACGTGACACAAATGCAAGTTCAAAGAAACATATTTCCTAATATTTAAAACATCAAGCAAATACATGAAAAGCAAAAATACCATCTCTGCTTGTGAGTGCCTCGCTGATCTGGACTGGTAAAGGAAAACCAAATGTCTCTACTCTATGCTGATCCGTCTCTTCCAGAATCTGAGAATTCAGTGGGACTCTTTGCTGACTTCTGAGGCAAGATACCAGACATGTAAAATACAATGTCACAAACAAAGTAAATCTTATTGTACAATTCATTGCGATCATATCTTCATTTAAAATTTGTACTTCTACAGTCCACATCATCTTCACATTTCATATCTTTCACGAGTTAAGATGAACTCAACAAATTGGCCGGCTCCCAATGTATGGGTCTTAATAGCTCAAATGGTAGAGCACTGCAGTGCTAACCCAGTGGCCATGGGTTCGAAACTCATTGAAGTCACGAAATTTTTTTTGCAGTGGCTATATGGCCGGTAACCGGTCAAGGTGTTGAAAACACTAAATGGCCAGCAGTCCTATATTCTCAGCAAATTTCACAAAATCTAAAGATTCTAGCTAATCTAAACTACCGTATCATATGTCAATTTAGAAAAGTCAAGCGATCCTGAAACACTTTATAGATCTCAAGTCTAGTGTTTGGTTTACACTGGGCTCAGAGGACGAAACTTTTTTCAGCTCGACTGCCAGTCAAGGCAGTCCTATATTCTCAGTAAATTTCACAAAATCGAAAAATTCCAGCTAATCTAAACTATCGCGTGTCGTGATCCTGAACAAACCAGCCGGTTTTGTGGGATTTCTATATCATGTTTTGTTGGTCGCGAGTCTTTGGATGTTCGTTACTATTTTCTGTCCAAAGTATGGCGTGACAGGCGACGTTCGACGTCATACCATCTTGACCTTTCATACGGCCTTTGCGGGAAACCAATGGGAAAAGTCTAGCTGAAATACACTTCAACATTATCTTGTTGACGATTTTGTGAAATTTACTGAGAATATAGGACTGTCAGCCATTTTGTGTTTTGAAAACCTTGACCGGCAGTCGAAGCTTAAAAATAAACAGATGAAAATTGATGTTATGAACAATGATGCCTCAAATTACATACTGTCATACAGTGTGGCATTTCTGTCGGGTGTCGGATAGCAGAAAGATGGAGCGAGTACAAGAGCGAGCGTTAAGTGCCCTCTACTGCGATACGAGAAGTTCATACGATGAGCTCTTGAGAAAAGCTAAACTCACGACACTAGGCTGTCGCCGATCGCAGGATAGGGCCATGATTATGTATAAGGCAAAGTACAATATATGCCCTCCGTACATAAAGGACATTTTTAAGCTCAATAAACCTCGCTGTGGGCTCAGAAATTCTGGTGACTTTTTTATTCCTCGATACAACACAACAACTTACAGGAGACATAGCCTAAGATACGTGGGCCCAGTAATATGGTTTAAATTAAGCAAGGATGTAAAAAATGCAGAATAATTTACAGCTTTAAAAAGGAAATTCGTACGGTAGATCTTGAAAAAGTAATCACAAAGGGCTGTAAAAACTGCTTTCTATGTTGTACATAAATGACATTTTCTAGGCAAAAAGGACACCTCTTAATCAATAAGTATTATTTTATATGATAAATCCGAATACGTTTTATCCATATTTTTTTAGTATGTACATTTTTGTAAATTTTATTCTTTGTAAATATTTTTTTATATTAATTAGTTAGAGCTGATAGTATTTTAATTTTGTGTCCCCTATTAGTAGGCCTTACATGGCCAGCTAGAAGACCTGACACTGAAATAAAGTTTATCATCATCATCATCATCAAAATGTTCTAAGTGTCACAAAACATGGTTTCGTCCTCTGAGCCCAATGTAAACCAAACACTAGACTTGAGATCTATAAAGCGTGTCAGCATCGCTTGACTTTTCTAAATCAATATATGATAGTTTAGATTAGCTAGAATCTTTCGATTTTGTGAAGTTTGCTGAGAATATAGGACTGCCGGCCATTTAGTGTTTTGAAAGCCTTGACCGGTTACCGGCCATATAGCGCCACAGCGAATTTTTTTCATCTTTATTTGTAACTGCTTACAGCAAATTGCAATAACCACTGCAATGATCATATCTTCATTTAAAATTCATACATTACTGTTTAATATTACAGTAACTGTTTATATTCTGAGTCAAAAATCACAAAGAATTTGCATGTGGATTCTTTCTGTAGATTTACAGTTTGTCGACATGAGGTGCAAGTGGAGTAGAACTTATTTATAGATTTGTACAACGCTGGTATGGCATATTATAATTTGAAACCTCTAGTAAATTAATGCTTATTTGTATTATTAATAATAAATCCGTTGCATTCCTAAACAAGCCTTCACAACCTACGATAACCTTAGTATCACAACCCTGGTGTATGCGCCACTAGCTTGGGTGACCTGTGCGTGGGCTACAGAAACAGCGTGAAATTGTTTATGGGCTTATTGAAACACGTCGCGAGTCGCGGACCAGTAGGGCATTGAATTAGAAATAATACATAGCTGTTTTTGTTGCTTATTTGTTTTGTCACTGTTTCTTTTTTTGGCTAAGAAAAAACTAGCCAGTGCTATGGATAAAAAAAGTGTAGGTTGTGCTTTATACATTCCTACAAACCTCTTAGCTGAATCTCCAAGAAATGAAGAATAATTTAAGGACTGACGCGGCGTAAAAGGACTGGAATCTCGTCCCTTTCCTTTAAATGCCGGTCTTGCCCAAGGGCTAGCCATAATTCTTGTGCTCCAAGAGATCTGCTCGTATGCCCAGAAGTGGAAGTAGCTTTGTAGCAGTTAGAACTGTCGCGCGCCAAAAACGCTGGGGGAATAGAACTAGTGGACCCATAGTGGATATGTCGTGTATGGGAGACGAAACGTATTCTAAAGTCGTGTAGACTGGATATTGGAAAACGTGGAAAAGCCAAGCAATAATATGGAAAAAATAACGCAGGAGAAACACAACAAAAGCCGTGAAAGAAGTGACAGGATCAGTGCATTAATGGGACAGTACATGTTGAAGGGTTACCGAATGTTAGGCTCAACATGTGAAGTTTGTGGGGTAAGCATCATTGTCAAAATAGCATACTGAACTTTTTTGGCTTTGTCTGACAACTCTTTACAATTTATTTATTCTTATTTATGATGTTCTTAGCTGGTAAGCAAGATCAAGAAACCTTGCTTTATGAGTTTTTTGATTGCTCAATCAAGTGCATCACAGTCACATTTTTCCGTTTTTTTTTTTTTTGTTGTTGTTGTTGTTGTTGTTTTTATATTAAACAGGTAGGCCCTAATATCCTTCTAGTACTATGGCCTTTTTATTGAAAATGTATGTTCCGAGCAGGGAACCTCTTGCCTCTTGTGGAACTAGGGGAAAGTTCATTTAATATGACAAGGGGGGGGGGGGGATGAAGATATTGAAACTCGAAGCTTGAAATTTTAGAAGCCCCCCTCCCTAGCGGTTCAATTTTTAGGAGCCCCTCCTTGGTAGTCGAAAAAAATTTCAGAGCCCCCCTCCTCCTTCAATTCCTTTGCTCCCCTGAAAAAAGATCGCTAGACTGTATTAAATATATTTACCATTATTGTCGTCAATGGTTTATACTATGACAAACTTGAGATACAGTTGTGATACAATTTTCTAAAGCATTTTTAGGATGAACAAGAGTGTAATAATTACTGAGACTACATTTGTTATATCTGTAAACCACGTGATATAGCTGAGTTGCACAGGTCATCAAATTGTTGAGTTGAAAACCATCCGATCTGTATGATGTCATGTGTTGGTTTTGAAGTATACAAATTTTCAGAACCCCCCTCCTAGTGCAACAATTTTTTCAGAGCCCCCCCTTCGGGTGTCTAAAAATTTTCGGAGCCCCCCCTCAATATCTTCATCCCCCCCCCTTGTCATATTAAATGAACTTTCCTTAGCGACTTGTTAATTGGCTCAATCAACTACAGTGGACTACTTTGTAATCTGATTTGTAGCGCTCAGATCACCTTATTCTAGAAGTATGGTTGCTCATTAAATGCTTTCAGGTTAAATTATTTCTTGGTGCTACAAAATTATACTTTATTCTGGCAAAGTGTTTTCTCACTAACAGACTGTACCTGGCATGACGTTACTTTAAACATAACTTTCACTCGAGCTCCTGCATGTTGGAAGTCTGATTTCCTTGCAACATTTTGCTCTGACCCCTCAATTTTTTGATTAGCAATCAACTCATTGTACTGTTCACTCACTTGGAAGCATGGTCGTTTTTCCTTTGCTCATCAGTCTCTGTTGGCCAGGCGTCTGGTATCCAGGCCTTGGTTTGCTCAGGTCAACCCCACCTCAGGATCAGAACTGAGGCTTCAGTTACCTGTCGCGACTTCCTCGTCGCGCGTTTGTGTTCGGTCAGTTGTGTGCTTAGGTTTCTGCCGGTTTCACCAATGTAAAAAGCCTGGCAGTCACAGCATTATGATCTTGTATACTGCTCCCTGTCTGTCCTCCGGTTTGTCTTTGTCCTTGACATTAGTAAGCAGTTGCTGTAAAGTGGTTATCAGTTTGTGTGCAACACGTATATTGTAAGGTTGTAATACACGTGCAATAGTTTCAGAGGTGCTTCTGATGTATGGTATAGTCGCTGTCGTAACAGGTTCAGAGTTGGTCTGAGAGTTGGAATCAGTGTTACTGTGAGTGTTCCGTCTAACAAAGTCCGTCTTGTTATTGTCCGTATTGTTCTTACTAAAAAAGTTGTTAAGATAATCAGTCTCGTCTTGTAGGCTGTCAGGTGAGTCGCAAACCAGTTGCGCTCGTCTCGTCAGAGTCTGGATGGTAGTAGCCTTGTGAGAGGTCGGGTTGTACAAAGACTGGTCTAGTAATCGGTCGGTATGTGTCGGTTTTCTGTAAATAGTCGTTTTTAGTTTGTTGTTGTCGCGAGTGACCAAGCAGTCTAGAAAAGGTATCTTACCATTTTCTTCGATCTCCTTGGTGAACTGTATGTCCGCGTTGTGTCTGTTAAGGTATTCGTGAAAATCGTTGATTCCGTCTTTGTGTACAGCGGTGAATGTGTCGTCAACATAACGTAACCAAAGAGCTACAGTTCGCGTGTAGGTAGCTAGGACTTGTTCCTCGATGTTTTGCATGACAATTTCTGCTACAACAACAGAAACTGGAGAGCCCATAGCTGTACCGTGTAACTGTTTGTAGTGTTTGCCGTTGTACTGAAAGTACGTCGAAGTCAAATAGAGGTTGAGTAGGTCCATAATGTCCTCTGTAGGTAGTGGTAGTTCAACAGTAGAGTTCTTAATAGCATTCTCAGTACAGTCTAGAGCCAGTTGAAGTGGAATACTGGTGAACAGCGATTTCACGTCAAAAGACACTAGTTTGTGGTCGAACATATTATTCCAGTTGTACATAAGCTTTTGGAAGCTGAAGACAGTACAGCAGTGAATATAGATGTGTATGACCAAGCAGAAGAGGAGGAATACATGTCCCTTATAAAAACAATTGTGACAGAATCTTCAGCTCAACCACAAGAGGTTCTTGCATTTTTTAAAATACATTAATTACTGTATGGTATGCAGCTACTATTAATAAATATGTTGCAGTTAATTGTTTATTTCAGTTAGTTTTTGTTTTTCCTTTTTTTAAGTTCATTTATTTAGCATATATTATCATATCCAAAAACAATGAAAAAATTAACTGAAATAAAAAATTAACTACAACATATACATAATGTTTGGGTTGTAATTTTAAAACAGTAAGTATCTCAAAACCTTAAGTCCAAAAAGTGTCTAAAGTATAATTACTGCCGTTATGTGAAAAAGGTATGAATAAAAACACTTTTTTTATACCTGCAAACTTTTATTAAATCTGACGTAATAGGCTTGAAATTTTTAATCGTACAGTGCCAGTAGTTTTTGTGGGGAATGGAAGATGACCAATGGCAGTTTCAAGAGTCCCATCTAATCTGGGTTCACTTAATTAATATGCCAATACGTCGATGCTTTGAGTGTTTTCCTAAACTCATCTGTTAAGAGCTTTTTCACTAAAATCAAAGATTTCAGCAAAAGTACAATCATTGACATTAACTTAATTTTCTTTCTTGCATGGTCCCTCCGTGTGTCTGTTGAATGGTTTTTATCAACTAAAATGTAATTTTGATGTACAAGGTAAACAGTCTGTACTTGTATTCATGGCTGTGCATGTTGCTGTGTGTTTCTTATTCAACAGTACATTGCCTTTGTACTTGATTGTATAACAATTGATTCTGTGATTATAATAAATATTTCAACTGTTTTGAATTTAAGGCAAGAAAATTTTTCGATGAAGTCTAAATGCAAGTGTGGGGATGTATTTGGCTTTAAGATAATTGAAGCACTCAGGCTGATTGGTGAACTAGAAAGGGAGCAAGCTCTCAGACGTTTTGTAACCAGTACCAAACGTGGATGTGCAGGTAGACTAACCTTTCCTGGCACTGGGCAGGTTTCTGGCTGCATTCATATTCAAAGAATGCAGCTGCCAGAATCCATACTCGAGAGCCTGGACAAAGGTACAATTATTGACTTGTATACTTACAATGCACAGTCAATCACTAGTAAGAAGATGCAATATTAATTTTTTAAAATACAATTTTCATATCAAACTGAGAATTAATTCTGTTCAAAACAATGAGGATTGAACTTTTAATATCTGAACACTTTTAAGCAAAGAATAGTACTTTTAGTTTAAAGAAGCAATACCATTTCATTCTATTTTTTCTCATTTGGGTTGAACTGTGTAATATCAGTATTGGTCATCTTGGCAACATTTGCGGATTGTGGAAGCTGTAATCTTATTTCCAAAACACCTCATTGTACTCATTTCATTTCCTGTATGTACTTAAATGTGTATATTAAGGGAAAACGGCTCTAAAAATCATTACTTATAGCTTTCTCAATAATCATCTTTTTTTAAAGCATTTTCGAGCACGAGGAACGCACCTACACCCTGTAATGGAAGTTCTGTGAATGTTAAAGTATGTATTTATATTTCCTTGCCCTATCCCATTTTTTGCTATATTTTAAGCATAAAGGGATTTTTTGGTTATTCAAAAGTAATGTTTCTATTTTTTGTGTTATTATTATGTCATGTAATTAATGCTTTCTGGAAATTTTAATGGCTTGGAAATCCAGCATGGGTTTTTAAGGGTGTTAAATTTTGGTCCAGGCATTTTTTTGGGTTTTGTTTGAAGCCCTAAGGATTTTTTCACCCATTAAATTTTTATCTGGAGTACCCTCTCCCCCCCTGGGCTTTAAGCCTAGAAATTTAACTTTTGTGCATCTTCTGTTTACGGCTATCATATATGTTCACGCATGAATTCACCCGTTGATCAAACTAATCTGATTTTTTTAATGGTTAATTAATTATTTTAAAATTTTGTATTAAATCCTCCTTTATGATTATTGAAAAGTTGGTATAGCACATACCCCCTAAGTTTTCTATTGGTTTTTTAAGCAGCAAGTTAATGCAGCTCAAGCCGTGCCAGTGATCACTAGTAAGTATTTAACCTTCTTTTGCCTGTGATTAAGTAGTTAACATGAAAAAATATTCTCAGCAAAAAGGATTCAGATAGTACATTATTAGCACATATGCCTGGTTTTCACTGGGGACGCAAGCACAAGTGTATAAGCTCTAAAGTCTTGTGTCAAAGGAAAACAAAGGCTTTCATTTGCATTTAGAAGTCATAGGTGTATCCAACGTATCTTGTATTATTAGTTTCAGAAAACATTGCAGTTTCTGACCAGATGCCAGGGGAAGCCGATCCCCAGCAGGTGGAAGAAACCAACATTGAGCTTCAAGTTAATGCTAACTCACAAGGAAATACTACCCAATGTGAGCCCTTAAAAGGTTTTTTTTGTATGTGTTAAATTCATGTATCAATTTATCTACCAACTTGAAGTGTTTGCAAATTTTTGTTTTTATGATATTTGATTTATCAGTGAGTCAATTGTTATAAAGTATATTATAAATGTCACTCAATTTCAATACTTTTTAAATGTAAATTTTTGTTTTATTCGTTTTCTTTCATTGTTCTCTTTGCTCTTTGCCTCTACCTTATTCTTTTTAACAGTGAATAAAAAATTTTGCCGCACACTGCATGTGCAATTTTTTTCAACAAATTTGAATTAACATATTTTGATTAATAATCTGTTTAAAGCATCTTTCATGTGTATTAATGTACGCTCTGGAATTTCTGAAGTTGTGGAGGTATGTATTTGTTATGGACAAATAATAATATTGTTATGCTCTTTTTCAACAGCTTTGGTTGAAATCAATAAAATTTTAAGTGCTTTTCAGAAATATTTAAAATTATTTATGCTGCAATCACCCCAACAGAATTGCACAAGAGTAAAATTCTAGAAATGTCATAGTGCATTATATATTTACAGTTTGTACAATTGTTGTTTCTTGACCGTGAATTAAATAATTTCGACAAAATATTGATATTTATTAATATCACTTACACATACATGCTTCAGTTCTGTTGTTGGTTTTTTTTTCAAGGTACAAGTGAATTCAGTGCAGCCTTTGCAGGTGATTTCCGGTAAGCAATGATTTCCGGTAAGCATTACCAATAAATATTTGAGTAGATTAAGGGCTAGTGTTTAAGAGAGAAAATGATCAATTTTCAAATAACTTCAATTATCCAAAGACAACAATGCACTTCAACTGAGCTAACCAGAACTCAAAGCAGATAAATGCACATGCAAATAATTATAATCAAGTGAGAGGACGTGCACAATGGAATAATGTTCCAATAATTTTTCTTGGATTTACCAATACTTCAAAGTGTTTGGGGAACATTTTTTCGTCGAACAATAAAAGTTGTTTTCAAGAGATCCAGCGAACAGAACAACAGCTTGATTGTGGAATAATAGTATCCAGAGTTTCAGTTTTCACTCTTTTATTTACATTCAGGTAATTTTTGGAGTTTTGCTTTAGCCATATAACTTAATATAAATTCAGGGTTCTCCCATGTTTCTACCATAACGGGAAAAAGACTGAGCTTTTCCAAGTGGTAAAATATGTGTAACAATTTTAGGCGGTAATAGAAGAGAAGCAACACCCCGTAAATTTTACAATATGAACTTCTTTTTTAGGCACTTGATGAAGAAATACTTGCTCGTGCAGCAGAACAAGCGGAACAAGCAGGTAAGAGTTGTTCAGAAGTTCGAACGAACATTCCTTCCCTGAGTTGTTGGATGGTCACAGAGGTGACCTCTGAAAGGTTCTCCTGCCATGTTTGTTTTTTTTAGCCTGACTTAAGTCACTTTCATGGGATTATAATTTTACCGTGGTATTGTTTCTGCTTAGGTACTGGAGGCAAATAACAGTAGTGTCACTCATATTTATGTGTACCATATTTTACGAACAAAACACATGCGTGTAAAACAAAAGGTAAATGTAAGGATTGAGCCAGTTTCGGCGAGATCAAGAACTGGGATTTGACGATCGATTGTGGATAATTTTCTATGACCACAATGACAACTTTTTAAATTACTTTGTAAGGTGATAAAAATACATAAATAATCTTCTTCGGAACTGTCGGGGTATACATGTAGCTAGAACCGGTTTTGTTGATTTCTTAATTCGCGAAAAAATTCGAGAAATCGAATTCATGGAGAAATAGTAAGTTTCAACTATCAGGAGTTTCCAAAAATGGAGGGTTAGAAAAATCGGTTAAAAAATGACAGTGTCTGACGGAAGCAAATCTAGGGGAAACGATATTGGTTCGAAGAAAAGGGCTTCTACAACAACGGAGTATTTGAAAAATCTGGATAGGAAACCTTTCAAACCTTAAAGAATAAACTATTTTAGACTATGTATTATAAACTATTTTAAGGGAGTGGTTCCCCCCCACCTCCAAACCACCAACACCATCCTGTCCAGGTAATGGGGAACAGAATGTGGTTGTACATCTTACAAGAAAACTAGTGAACTTTTGTTTTAGTGTATGCAGAAGCTCATTCGACGCAACCAAAGAAAACAAATCGAAAAGGTACAATCAGAAGCATATTATATGCTTCCAGTACAATATAAAGCAGTTGTTTAAACAACACATAATAAAAGGAAAAGTAAGTTAAATCTCAGTACTGTGAAAAGTAAAATCTTGCACCGGTATTTCTATGTATGTTTTTTGGACAAGATTAAACCATGGTCTTTTGGTTGGAACACATCTTTTTTAAGGTAACAACTCGCGTTCATTCAAACTCGCTAGCATTGTAGAATAGAAGAGGACAGAAACTGGTTAACAGCTATAAACGGAAGCAAGCCGCAAGGAAGCAACTTTCGGAATTTTATGGTATCCAATCAGAAAATGTAAAAAGCAAATGAGGACAAATGAATGTAACACAAATTTGAGTAAGAAAAAACGAGATGTACAACGCGGACCGATGTACAATTACTGCCACCTAATGTAAAGTTCAACTGAAATAACGTGAAAGTGACTGAAAAAAACTCATTTCTATTCTTGTCTTTAATGGTAGGAAGAAGTAACGTGAATAATCTACTCGACAATTTGCATCCCGGGACCATTACAGGTGAGTCGCGCGTGCATACTTCATCACGTAAATAGGTAACTAATCGCATTACTCGTCATCACTTGTTAAGAGCATAATATCACTTTAAATCATGAGTAGATAATAATAACGAACGAGCGAGGGAGGGAGTGATATTGCATCAAAACAAGTGAAAGTCAGTGAGTACACATGATACCAAGTCTTACGCTTATCGAAAAACTCTGCCAAGGTACCACATCTGGCAATTCTTGAATAGGCCAATTTCCTTGGAAAGGGGTCACAATCTGACGATTTTTTTTCTTTTACAGGGAAGAGAAGGAGAACAAAGAAACGAGGTGTGAGCTGTTCAAGAGCTTCCAATACCCATGGAAACCATGCATTCTGAAATAAGTTTTACTGCGTAATGATGTCAATTAATGTTAAGTTTGTTTTTACTTGTTCTACCAAATCAGTAAAGCCCCAGTTTGGCAAGTCATGGGGTTAGGGTCCAAGAAATACCGACTTTTTACTTTAACCCTTTAAACCCTAAGATCAAAATTTGAATTCTCATTTGTTGCCCCTATTCATTTCCTACAGAAGTAGTGGGGAGAAGTTGATAAAATATCAAGCAAATTCATCTTGTGTGATCATTTCCGTGAGACTCATGACCACTCTGTTTTATTTGATGCTGATCACTCTTAATGTCCTGAATCGAAAGAAAATAAAAAAACTTTCGCAGAGCCGTTGGTCCTAACCGTGGCCTAGCCTTTGTATTACTAAGGAAGAGTGCAGTGAAAGTGTGCCGACTTGTAAAAAAAAATTGGTATTATATCACTAATAAAACATGAATTCTTCACAAGGTTCGTGATTGGGCAAACGACATAGCTGACAAGTAAATGGGTTATTTCGCTTGCTAAGGACAGGTTTAGACAAAGCCCCATTTGTTTCCTTGAATAAATTAAATATTCTTTTAAGAATCTTCATTGCTATATTCTGGAAAAGACATATCTTCGTCAGTAATGCAAGAAATCAGAGGTCGAAAGAGTTCGAGTGTCTCTGTAAAGGACAAATTTGGGTACTTAGCACAAATGGTGTTTTAGAATGTGCTAGAGGAAATCCGTTCTTGCGTAATCGTCGGAATAAACAGCTGAAATTTGGCCTAGATGAAAGCAATAAGATTTCCTTTTGCAATATTTCAATGAAAATAGCTTGACAGCAGGCACGATGTTTTTCCTATTTACTCATCTTGCACATTAGGTGAATTATTAGGCGACTCTTTACAATTTACTCTTTACAATTTCTTTTTCTTTTACTTATTAAGATTCACTTTAACGAGTAAGTAAGGATGTTGGAAACAAGATATAATAAACTCTTGAATTGTTTTAAATGTTACCTTGTTTGTATGCTTTGATTTAGTATTTAGCATTTTTTGCTTTCCCGTCTCTCCCCCCCCCCCAAAAAAAAACTTATAAAAATATTTTCAAAAATGCCTCTATGAGAGGAGTTTTCTTTACTAGACTGGTAGACCGAAATGGCTAGAGGTCAATACAGTGCATCAGGCGAATGAGAAAGGGCTATTGACCCGTGGCAAGGAGTCAAACACGCGGACTGACTACACCGTGTTTTCAATACGCGTATAAAATTTGGTCGATGATAATTTTCCTCTCAGTCAGAAATTGGTATTTTTTTTTTACGTGCGGGTACTGTCGGTAAAACCATAACGATATCGAGAAGAAGTCAGGGAACTATATTCAGCGTAAGCCTTTGGAATTTTGACAACACAATATTGATTCGATTGCCGATTTGTTTTGAACTGAGAATAACTGTAGTGAATGTGATTTGTAATTGTGTTTGCCATCGAACCATCAAGGTACCAGCGGCAGACCACTCAAAACATCGCAGAATCGCAAACTACCGAGAGCAGCTGTCTGTACTGTGACAGTTCGGATGTTTGGCCCTCAGTATTCACAAGATAAAAAAAAAGAATTATCGTTCAAAACGTAAATCAACGCCCGTACGTTTACTTTAAATGGACCCTAAAATCTAGTTTTTGTTCCCACACCAAAGATAGGAAATCAGATGTTTTAACTATTCAGTTCATTGTCTTTTTTATCCTTTATTTTTACATCCTTGTAACTGAACATTCCCGCTTTCTCATTCACACTCAGCTATTTACTTCTTATTGAATTCATCTAATACCATTGCATTACTTCATTCACGCGCGTAGGCGTCTTCTTTACAGTTTGACCTGACAACACATAGCTTTGTTTTTCAATTACAACAAGGGATCAGTGTAACTTTTTTATACTACATTTAAATTAAATTTAACATCATTTTTATAAAATAAAATTTTGAGCATCACGTAATAAGGATATTTATATGTCCATTAGTTCTGTGATTTTGCCATTGTCTAATAGTTAAGTATCGGCCAACATCACAGATAAAAGTTAATTTGGAAAAATTCCTTGGAAATCCAAAGCAGCGTTTTTCATTGCTACTAAGGGACAAGTAGTACCATACCAAATCAAATTGCAGGATTATACTGACAATAAATAACTTCATGTAAATCCCGGGGGGGTACCGACACTCCCTTGTATAAGACAAACAGTTCAGTTCTGGTAAGTGTCGTCCCAAAATTGTTTCTTTTTGCGCACTTTTTGGTCTTAAAACGGGTATAGATTTTGCCCATTTTGGTCTAGAATCGAGTATGGTTTTCGAGGGAGTTACAGGAGTGCATGAACTTAATTATCGTTTCAACTCCAAATTAGTAAGCAATAAAGAGAAATATGCGAATTCGAAGTGGCTTTAAAGAATATTTTGGTTTGATGATTTAACGTCTGCCTAAAGATCAGGTCTCAAAACGGGTATGGATTTGGTCTGGTCTGGTCGGAAAACGGGTTTTGTTTTGTCATTTGTTCTATAGTTTTTTTCTGTAGCGCGGAAGCACTTCAAGTAACCAAAGTAAGCACAGCACCTCAAGCAAGCAAAGCACCTCAAGTAAGCAAAGCATCTCAAGCAAGCTGAGCACCTCAAGCAAGCAAAGTGAAAGCACCTCAAGTAAGCAAAGCACCTCAAGCAGGCAAAGCACCTCAAGTAAGCAAAGCACCACAAGTAAGCAAAGCACCTCAAGTAAGCAAAGCACCTCAAGCAAGCAAAGCACCTCAAGTACGAAAAGCACCGCAAGTAAGCAAAGCACCTCAAGTACGCTAAAGCACCTCAAGTAAGCAAAGCACCTCAAGTACGCTAAAGCACCTCAAGTAAGCAAAGCACCTCAAGTAAGCAAAGCACCTCAAGTACGAAAAGCACCTCAAGTAAGCAAAGCACCTCAAGTAAGCAAAGCACCTCAAGTAAGCAAAGCACCTCAAGTAAGCAAAGCACCTCAAGTAAGCAAAGCACCTCAAGTACGCAAAGCACCTCAAGTAAGCAAAGCACCTCAAGTAAGCAAAGCACCACAAGTAAGCAAAGCACCTCAAGTAAGCAAAGCACCTCAAGCGGGCAAAGCACCTCAAGTACAAAGCACCTCAAGTACGCTAAAGCACCTCAAGTACGCTAAAGCACCTCAAGTACGCTAAAGCACCTCAAGTAAGCAAAGCACCTCAAGTACGCTAAAGCACCTCAAGTAAGCAAAGCACCTCAAGTAAGCAAAGCACCTCAAGTAAGCAAAGCACCTCAAGCGGGCAAAGCACCTCAAGTAAGCAAAGCACCTCAAGTAAGCAAAGCACCTCAAGCAGGCAAAGCACCTCAAGTAAGCAAAGCACCTCAAGTAAGCAAAGCACCTCAAGTAAGCTAAAGCACCTCAAGTAAGCAAAACCACCTCGTAAGCAAAGCATCTCAAGTAAGCTAAAGCACCTCAAGCAGGCAAAGCACCTCACCTCAAGTAGCAAAGCACCTCAAGCAAAAAGCATCTCAAAAAACCACCTCCAAGCAATGCACTCAAGCAAGCAAAAGCACCTCAAGTAAGCAAAGCACCTCAAGCAGGCAAAACCACCTCGTAAGCAAAGCACCTCAAGCACCTCAAGCAAAGCACCTCAAAAGCACCTCAAAAAGCAAAACACCTCAAGCAAGGCAAAGCACCTCAAGTAAGCAAAGCACCTCAAGTAAGCAAAGCCTCAAAGCAAGCAAAGCACCTCATCACAAGCAAACAAAGCACCTCAAAAAAGCTAAAGCACCTCAAGTAAGCAAAAGCACCTCAAGCAAAAAGCAAAGTGCAAAGCACCTCAAGTAAAGCAAATAAAGCACCTCAAGTAAGTAAACAAAAGCACCTCACCTCAAGTAAACAAAGCATCTCATGCAAACAAAGGCACCTCAAGCACGCTCAAAAGCACCGCAAGCAAAGCACCTCAAGCAAGCAAAGGAAAGCACCTCAAAGTACCTCAAAAGCAAAGCATCTCAAGCAAACAAAGCACCTCAAGCAAGCAAAGCACCCCAAGGGCAAAGCACCCTCAAAAGCATCTAAGCAAAAGCATCTCAAGTAAGCAAAGCACCTCAAGCACCTCTCAAGTAAAAAAACAAGCAAAGCACCTCAAGCGCTAAAGGCAAAAAAAGCACCTCAAGTAAGCAAAGCACCTCAAGCAAGCAAAGCAACTCAAGTAAGCAAAGCACCTCAAGTAAGCAAAGCACCTCAAGTAAGCAAAAGCACCTCAAGTAAGAGCAATCAAAGCACCTCAAGTAAGTAAGCAAAGCACCTCAAGTAAGTTAAAGCAGCTTAAGTAGGCAAAGCACCTCAAGCAGCACCAAGCAGGGATGCAGGCAAAATATATGGACAACTATATGATGGCGGTTGTTGCGAAAACTAAGACCCCCGAAAACTAAGACCTAAGACCTAAGAGCTAAGCACCAAGCAAAGGGATGAACAGGCAAAAAATATATGGACAACTATATGATGGCTTGACATGAAGTACTTACCTCGGAGCGGTTATAAACTGTTATTGCTTTCTCTACAAAAGTGAAACCTTAGTTTCAAGCGAGGATGACTGAAGTCACTGAGAATGACATCTCGGGGGCTGACGAATTTCCTCTTCACCGTGCAGTGCGACGGGGTGACGTGAACACTGTGGAAAGCTTGCTGAAGCATGGAGCAGACCCCAATGAGAAGGATCGTAGGGAGACGACACCCATACACTTTGTCAATCACTTGAATGAAGACTCCTACCAAATGGTACACGTTTTGTTGAAATATGGTGCGGACATGCTGATTAGAAACTGTTATGGACAGCTACCGTTTGAAGAAGCTTTAGCGCTTTCTAACAAGAAAGTCTGCAAGGCTTTTGTAGACTGGGGATTTTCCCTTCAAAAATGTGACCGCATGCATAATGGCACATACGAGCTACTTAGCCAAGTTCAGCTGTTTCAACCTGATGCTACAAAGACACTTCAAGTTCTTGTTGATCTAGGGGTTGATCTAACCACTGCACTGTCCTCAAGAGGTGAAACCCTGCTACACCGAGCGGTAGAGTATGGTGTTAGCTTGGAAACTATACAATTTCTTATCAGATCCAGACTCTCAGTAAACCAGCAGAACTGCTTAGGAATGACGCCTTTGCATATGATGCGGTTCACTGACTGCAACTTAGATTGCAATGAAGAAGAGAAATACAGGCATGTAGAAGTTATAAAGTGTTTCATAGAAGAAGGATATGGTGTGAATTGCCAAGACGTCTTTGGATGCACAGTTGTTCATTACATCGTCTCTGAAATGCGACAGAGCTCCATCCTGCGATATCTTATTAGTCATGGTGCAAATTTAAACGTCAAAGATAGAAATGGCGAGGCACCTCTGCATTTATCCTGCTACTGGAGAAATTTAACAAATGTCAAAGAAATGATTGATGGGGATTGTCTGACTGATATTCGAGACAATCAAGGTGCAACCATCTTTCACTATACTGTTTTCTACAACAATCCAACAGTTCTTGAATATCTTTTAAATGATCTTCACGAGCCATCTCTGGTTGTTGCACCAGATGACTCGGGAAGAACTCCACTTCAATTGGCCATGTATTTTGGATATGTAGAACTAATAGAGCTCTTTAAGAGCTATTTCCAATCCTTGAAGAAATGCCCAAGCAAATGTGTAGGCAGCATACCAGATTGTTTTCCTCTGAAAGATGAAATTGAAGTTTTTGAACAAGAAGAAGTTAATAGTATGCCATCAGAGGACTTCGTTATGAAAGATCACCAGAATAAAACACTTCACAAGGTACTTAGTTCTCCTGTCATTGGAATGCTACCAGAACTGGATGAAGTAAAGCGAGTTGAAGAAGCTGTAAACCAACTTATTGAACAGGTATCCATGAAAGTAAACAAAAACTGCCCACTTTTTTCTTTTGAGCCTAGACTCTCTGGTAGTTTAAGCGAGGGAACTAAGTGTGGATTCCCAAATGAGTTTGACTTCCTGTGTACAATGGTGGAACTATCAAATCTTTTTTTGGATCCAGTAGTGGATTCCAGTCCTCCAATGTTTGGCCAACTGCAACTCAAACCTGAGATTTGTCTCCCCGACCATGAAGTCTCACAATATGTGGACAAAGACAAAAGTTTGCGATCTGCAAAATTGATGGAGGATTTCACAGAGGCACTTAATAGTGCCCTTTTAGAAAAGGACATTTGGGAAGGCGTGCCAGCACTTTCACCAGTGAGTTTGTGTGTAAAGAGTGCAAATGCAACCACAATTCGCGTCAGGTGGCATGGGCATGTCTTCAAAGATATGCTAATTTCTGTAGATGTTGTCCCAGCACTTTTTTTCTCCAATTTCTGGCCACCGAATGTCTCTAAGACAGCACTTTTAACACCAAAGATCAAAGAAAATGGGATTCATGTTGTGTTTGCTCTACACAATGACAGGTTTTTTGAAAGCCAAGAAAAGCACTTTCGCCTTTCATTTTCTCTTGCTGAAACTGAGATATTCAAATCCCTTCCAGAGCAAGTTTGCCGGGGTTACATTCTTGCAAAGGCAATCAGGAATTCATATGTATGTCCACAAATTGCACCCAAAACAAAGGTGCAGACATCTACACACACATTTTCTGAAATGCAAATGGAATGTTTAGCTGAAAATGATGAAGAAGTGATAGATTGTCCTGAACAGGGCTTGTCTAGAAAAGAGTGGCAGCAAATCCTAGAGAGTCAAGAAGGAGAAGAGGTTGAAGCTGAGTTAATTGAACCTGTGGATAATGATATCCATGCAGATAAAATCATTACCACTTATTTCCTGAAAAATGCACTGTTTTCATTGGTGAACAAGTCTTGTAACAGAGAACTTGGTGTGGATCTTCAGAACTATTCTCAGGATCAAGCCACTGTTTGGGCAAAACTTATTTATGACTACATTGAAGATTGCCTCACAGAGAAAAGGCTGTCATCATTTTTTATACCCAGCTGCAACTTACTTAACAAGGCCTATGATGGGGGACAACACGAGCTTGTGTTTAAGTCAGGAGCAGAATTTGAGCCCCTGTCCACAACAGATGATGATGAATCCCAAGATTTTGATGAGACAGAGGAAGATTTTGAATACTTAAGAAAGCTTTTTGTTAAAATGCTAAGGGGAATTCTCCAGTCCCACTAAAAAAGCAGTGGGTGTGCACTTTTCTCAACTTTTCCCAAAACGCATGAAAAATGGTGGCCTTTCCTTAATGGCTGAACCTCACCATAGAAGTGAATCATCATTTCCTCAAAAACGAGTACAGCAACCTATCATTTGTTTCTGTTTTGAACTGAGTAAGAATTTGTTCTTTGAATGTAATATAAATATAGACCAATTCTCAGTGTAGAACATGAAACAATCATCAGAAACATGAATTTAGCAAGCAATTATGACTATAATCATGGTGCTATTGTATGATTTGTATGATATAAACGAGGTGCTGTTGCTCCTAAACAAACATAGGGACCCCTCATTTTTATTTCAAAATTTAAGTTCCTGTAATATAGACAATCAATAGGCAAAGTCTGACAAAAATCTTGGAGCGGGTTCTGTTTCAGTGGAATGACCTTAAATGTCCTTCATCAAGCACAAATTAAAATTAGTAGAATTCTGCTAGTATACTAATGCAAATGCTGCAATCTGATTGGCTGAGCTACTCGTATACTATCAGCCATTAGAGTGCAGTAGCTGTTGGTCGTCCACAAAATGCTACGTTTTTATCGTTTTTCCGAAGTTTTGGAAGAAAGTTTAGATGTAAATGGGTAATTAAATACCTGAGAAGACTTAAAGAAGGACATTAACGGTTTCTTGACTTTAAAAACTTGAAATTATTGAAAAAAAGCGGGTATGTGCGCGTAAACAACTGCAGATTTACTAAAGACAATTCAATACGTGCAATTTTGTTACAGCGTAAAGTTCAATGATGTGTAGAAAAATAATTGTAAACTGTTATTTATGTTTATTTCAGTTAGAATTCTACTAAAACAATTAGATTATTTCCTCTCGATTTCTATGAGGCGATAGTATTGCCTTCGCTCTATCCCTTCATAGAAATCTCGAGGGGGCTCTGCAGTGGGATACTTTTTGGGCCTGGAGTAGTTAGTTTTGGGTTCTTTTGAGAAACACACAAGAGTAAGTCAAGATTATAATGTATTCCCAGAATGCAAACAAAGTGTAGGTGAAACCAGCATTATAAATACACCTTTGTCCTGCTTATGTTGTCACTTGTGATCCTTGTGTGCAATTAAGTATCCTGCCCAGCAAAGTTAACCAACTTTCTAAATCGATTACAGATTAGATCAGAAGGGAGGTAACAGATACAACTTAATAACATGGTGATGCACATGAAAATGACTCATGGTGCCTTAGGGCTGCAGTTAAGTTAGAACAGCAGAATAATTTAACCAATAGCAGTCAAGCATGACACATTCTTTAAGCATAACAACCAGAAGTGATTGTTTCCTCTCATTTTCTTTTTCAAATTCTATTTTTTTCCATTTACCCTCAGAACTAAGTTATGGAAATATGTGGTTTTAAAAATTACATAACTCAAGCAGTTTAATGCCTGGGTCAGGAATGTAAAGTAGAATTATGGTTGGGCAGCTCTATCTCTTGTTTTATTTGTTTTACCAAGCTGAACTTTTCCTTGATTATAAAACTCGATGTTCTGCCTTGCCTTAACATATTATTTTAACCACGTGACATGTCACGTGATCTTTTTTTTTTAAGTTAGTAAACCTTGTAACCCTGTTACTTTGTTATCTTTTTCCGAAAGGTAGATTTTGGTAAGTTTCTCATATCTGAGGGTAAAGAATTCCAATTTTTGGTCCAACTCTTAGAAAAGAACTATGCATTTTTTCAAGCCTTGAGTGTTCGGTATAGAAATCATCATTAAGAGAAGATCGGGTAGGATATGAGTACACCTCAGAAATCCTAGTAAAGGCTCTCTTGATACAGTGGAACCCTGTTAATGCGACCACCATTGGGCCATAAAATCCTGGTCGTAATAACGAGGTGGTCGCATTAACGGGGTCCTCAAAATAATAAAATGACTCAATGGTTTTTACGTTTGGTTTGAAAGAATATGGCCGTAATAACGAGGTGGTCTTATAAACGGGGTGGTCGTAAGGCGGGGTTCCACTGTATTTTCAGGTGCAGAATTGTTAGCAACGTCCCACAGGATACTACAAAGACAATCAAAGTAAATAAAGGATAGGCGAAAGACTTTTGATTTTAAGAAAAATGGTACAGCATGTTGCTTATAATCCATAAAGTAAATCAGGCGTAGGGCTTGTTTTTGAATTAAGAGTATCTTATTTAAGTAAGTTTTAGGTGCAGAGCCCCAAGCACAGATGCCACAATAAAGATATGGGTTGATAAGGGCTTGATAGATATTTAAGAGGGGACATAATGGAATACCGTAGAATCCCGGTTATAAGCCCTGGGCTTATACAATTTCGTAAGGGTTTTTGGGTGGGCCTATAATCGGGGGGGCTTATAACCCGGGGGGCTTATAATAGGGAGGAAAAAAACGTCTAAAATCCGTTCTATTAAAATGAAAATTTTAATCATGTCTACTTTCAATTGCAACAATAACGGATTGTCAATGTGTTATTGTCAATGTGCTACGGGGCTGCACAGAGGTACCCCATTAACGTTCGAGCTACTGGACTCCAACAAAGCGGAACAGAGATCAAGTTTAGTTGTGACTTTGATGGAATACGATTCATTGAAATCCTGTTAAAGAACCGTTGCTGTAATTGATTTATAATAATAAATACGGTATGTCGCTAATTTACTGCCTAATTATTGTTAACTGTATATGGTACCCGGTATAACAGGGGTATAACCGGGAGGAAATTTCTATTAGCAGAGAGGTGGGCTTATAATCGGGGGCTTATAACCGGAAGGAAATTTCTATTAGCAGAGAGATGGGCTTTAATCGGGGGCTTAGGGGGGCTTATAACTGGGGAATACAATTTGTCTAAGCTTTGCTAGAATTCCCACGGTTCTACTTATCTTTAAACAGATTAGATTAATATGGTTTTTCCAGGAAAGTTCATAATCAATCAGAACACCAAGGTATTTGACAAAATCGTTCTTTTATAGCTGGATCATAAGCTTTGATGGAGGGATTATATGTTAAACATTTCTGCCGAGGACGGAAAAGCACGTAATTAGATTTTTTGAAATTAGGGGTTAGCTTATTGGCTAAAAGCCAGTCACTGACATTACCTTGTTACCGGCACTCTGTTGATTTGCTACCCTTTTACCTATTCTATGGGTCGCCATCACCACCTAAAATTCAAGACTCAGTGTAGGATAGGTCAGAGAAGAAACTAAGTTGGTTCAGTTGCCAGTTATGAGAGCACAGCCACTTTGCAATTGAAAAGCTAATTTTGAGCAAGTGTTCATGCAATCTTGCTGAAAAACTGGATTGAAGAAATGATTGATCCTTGCAACTTAAGCAATAGACCTTTCCTGCATTCCAGTAAACAATGGTATCAAGTCAAGGCTTGGGTGAAGAAAATACAGTGATTTGTATGAAATTGTCTACCCAAGCCTCGACCTCATTTCTTTATGCTTGCTCACTGGAGCCGAATGCGGGAAAGGTCTATTGTCCTGTATATTCACCTAAAAAATTCAGGTGACTTCAAGGGGATTTGAACTCATGACCTTTGTGATGCCGGTGCAGTGCTCTTACCAACTGGGCTATGAAGCTATACAGTTGTACATGGTTTTACACATTTAACTTGTAACTTTTATCCCTGCAAATCTTAATTCTAGTATATTTATTATCCTGTAAGAGGGCCACTATTTTCTTTGTATGTACATACTATTTTGTGTTACTCTAGTTAAATAAAGACTTTACTTAAACTAGTTGAGAGCAGGTCAATTTGTTGGACTCGTGTGTTCCCATGAAAGGTATGATGAATGAAAGAAATGTTTTTGTGCAGTTCTAAAATGAATAGAAGAAATGCTTGATTCTCGCACTTGCTTGACAATTTAAGCAATTGTTCAATACATTCACCTGAAAAATTCAGGTGACTTCAACAAGATTCGAACCCATGACCTCCCCAAATTCCTGTACAGCGCTCTTACCAACTGAGCTATAGATATGAAGCCAGTGCCACACAGTTGAGAGTAGGTTAATTTGCTGGACTTGTGTGTTCCCGTGAAAGGAATGACGAATGAAAGAAATGTTTTTATCAAGTGCAGTTGAGAAATGAATTGAAGAAATGGCTGTCCCTTGGACTAATGCTGGACAATTTAAGCAATATTTATTGTCCTTGGGAGCCCTCGGAGAATCTTTCTAATATTGAACCATGTTTGGATAGGAATATATACAGAGATCCCGCTAAGGAGTCGATACAGAGCCCTGTGCTGAGACTGCACCTGAGTCCTACTAATAACATAATTATGTACGTTACATAATTACCAGTACATAATTTTCCTTGACCGATAACCCTTAAATTTCTTTCACCAAAGACAAAAATATGTACAATGTTCACAATTATTCAGTCACAGCAATTTACATGTACAGCCTTGTCTTCTTGACCACTTGCTGGAAGGAGTAGTGTATTTAACTCTTTCAGTTGCTGTCCTCTTTCTATTTCCTCAAGAAGACTATCCACTAGCTTGTCAAAGCATTCATCTATATTGATGTTTTTCTTTGTACTAGTTTTGTAGAAAGGCATCTCAAGGTGCTCCGCAAGATTTTTCCCTTCCTCTGGTTGTACTTGTCTTAAATGTGACAAGTGACATCTGTTCCCTATTAGGATTCCTTTAGCGCGTGCCTCACAGGATTTCCTCATTTCGTCATGCCTGCAAACATAAAGGGCAAATTATAAAGGATTCTTGTAACCCACCCAAAGGAAGGCCTTCAAAGAACTATTCAGGTCATTTCTTCACTCCATGAGTGACCATTCTTCTGGTCCATGAATTGCAAAAAACAATTACAAGAATTGTGATTTGGAGTCTACCCTGTCTGGTACTATGTTAAACACATCATGCGTTTCCAAGAATCAAGACAACAAGCTTGATTTGTGAAAAAGATTTTTGAGTTGAAACATGCTGCCCTTCTGATTGGGGGGGGGGGGGTGGGGAGAGTCATGAAAATTAATTTTGTATTGTATTTTTTCAGCTGCTGCCAGGCCCTTGAAGATATATTTTTTTGCATGACCCCCAATGATTCCCACTAATGCCGCCCCCATCTTACTTTGTTCCACAGGCTGGGCATTTGGACTTGTCTCTAAGTTCCACTCTGGGGATTTGTACAAATGGGATAGCCCCACTGCGGGGCATTTGCAACATTTTTTCAAAACAACAGTAACAAATGTCCAGAGCTTGGAACTGATGGAGCCATTGATACCGTATTTACCCGTGTATAATGCGCGCCCCGTGTATAATACGCACCCTCATTTTTGACCACTTTATTCTAAAAAAAAAAAGATTCCAAGATAAACACCAAGAATTAAAACTTACATGTTTTCCATTTAATTAACAAGAGCTGGGAATTCATTAATGACATGTTTACAACAAACTACAAATATTGCATGCACCGAGCACTTATATCCAATACTTGAAGTCCCTATTCATAACTTGAATTATTAACATAAAGGCAATTCAAAAAAACTTAACCGGTATTTCTACTCACTGCACTGCTGGTAGCTTTAGTATCACTACTGTATCGCGTTCGACTCAAGTAAAATGTTCAGTGTCTTTAAACAACACATTCCTAAACAACGAAACCTTCAAATTCTGACTCAGGGTCTGATTCAAATAGGTTTTTGATGCTTGAATCATCAAGTTCATGAGTGTTCTCAGTTGAATTGTAAACCAGTTCATCTTCTGATCCATCCAAATTGTTTGTGATGCCACACTTCAGAAAGCACACTTCAGTCGAGGCATCTTCTCGAGGTTTTCTTTACTTTTTCGCCAGAGTCTGACATTACTCTTGGAAGCACCAAACTCACGCTCGGCAGCACGATTGCCATGTTGCTCTGCAAACTGGATAATTCTTAACTTGTCGGACACAGTGTAACTTTGACGTTTCACAGTGGTAAGTT